CGCCTGAAAGTCTAAGTTGCATCATTCCTTTTCATCTGAAACTATTGAAGTTTGATGCACGATCCGGCTGGGGATACAACTGATGATAACTAACCCTGGTGTTTGGGAGGGTGCAGCCCTTTTTCTTCATTTTCCGTTCATTTTACGCTACCTCCAGAGTAAATTCAAGGTATATTATCCTCATTTTTGCTGTGCAATATTTCATTTTTCGTCCCCCCTAAACCGTGGTTTTACGTCGTCACTGGGCCTAAGAAATTCTCTCGAAGAGGATTGATCTAATTAAATAAATGTCTTCCACTATCAGCTTTCGGCCGCCTTGACACTGTTTACAAAAATAAATTCTCAAAGAAAAGGTTCGGATAAGTTAAAGATACCTTAGAACGGGTTTTGATAAACAACAGCTAACTTTGTTTAAAGGAAAAACATTTTTCTTAAAAGAAAAATGTTTCTTCAGCTTGTCGAAAAAAAAAAAGAATTGGTAGAGATGAATCGTTGTGTGAAGTCACGGAATGAATGGCAGCTGAATACCGGAGGTAGTAGCGTCACGCAATCATGCGTACAACATCTTTCGTGACGAGCAATTCGCATAATTTATCTTTCCGAGAAACGAAACCGTTTTTGATTTCCCGGAAGCAGCAACAAGGTGTATTGCAAGTGATTTCTTTCGGTAAAACTGCTAATATCGGCAACTTAAACGCCTCTTTTGCCAAGGAAATTGTGACATGAAGATGGATTTGCGATACAAGTAATTCCTTAAAAGATTTACCCGAGGTAAGTCACCTCACCATGTGAAAATATTCGTATCGAAAACCCGGACGCCATTAGCGCGGAAAGAAAGCTTGTTCGATAGAATTTTGTACGCGTTTGGTGATTGTAAAAAGTAGTCAGCAAAAGTTTAGAGTATTTTACTTGGGTAGCAAGTGTATTTTTCGATCAGCCGATGAACTGGAGTTTATCTAATGTGAAAATTCAAATCGCCAGCTCTTCAGTAACAGTGTTTTGATTTCATACAAACTAGTGTAACTGATCATGAAATACCAAGTAGAGATGAAAAGAAGACATTTAGCAGTTTTATTGTTGGTGAAAAACTTTGTATTCGAAATCTTCATAGTGGGCTTCGTGAGAATTGCCTCAGCGCGAGTCTTATGGCGTCAGGTTATTTTTAATGTTCAATACAGTCAATAAAGACAATTTTCCTCGGATAATTTGCTTATATCTATCAAATATATTCCGAACAGGTTCAATGGTGAAATTCGGTTATGTTCGTTGCTTAATCATGGTACGAAACTACTGATGACAAACACGGTGTTTCACATGGGTCTCGTACTGGAAAGTTTTGGGGCTTTGTCAGCCATATCATGAAAAACGAGTTGCCGTCAGTGAATATTTTGTTTATGTCACCAAACCAGATACAGATGCAGGTTTCTGTTTTCCTGTGGAAGCATATGTGTTCCATTTTTGAGCAACCTTAGGAGCGAAGTATCACACTAGAAGTTGAAAACGGAATACCTTCATTCGGAATTTTTTGGTATTATGTTGTTAGAAAGAACTTTCCAGAAATGAAACCCCTGTACCCTGACTCTGTCACTCAGACTAATGAGAGGCACAGTTACTGAATATTACAACACCTACTAAAATGAGGAAGAGGATGCACCCGAAGATTTCCCACGAGATAACATTATATATATATGCCTTTAAACTTCAAAATCTTCATTACCAAATAACTAAAACTTGACCAGATTCATTGTTATAATAAGGTGTGACATAGCAGCACGTGCGTCCTCTAGGGACTTATAGTCCAGCTACTTAAATATTTGTGTGGTCGCTGATATGTGAATTGTTTCTAAGTAAACGGTTTAGTTTTCTTATCCTGTTCTTCCGTTGTCTCTCGTATTATTACAGTTATTTAATCGTATCATATGCTTATTTACAACAATCGTGCAAAACAAAGCAAACTATATCTACAGTGCAAGTAAGAAAATATCAATACCTGAGATTCTGAATACACCAACTCCCCAGCCGGGCCTGCAAAATGGGAGCGAAAAATTTTTAACACTGGATCATAAACTACACTGAGAATTTCTTACAAAACGTAGATAAAAACCTTTCATATGGTTATGTAACAAAGTTTCATCCAACGAGGCGTTGTTTCAGCATAGAGAATGAGTATTAAAGTTTAAAAAAAAAATATGGACAATGGTATCGCCGGGAATAATGAGTACGCCTGTAAACGTGAGCTATTCAGACTGTCGGTGCTATGATGTTAAGAGATGAATTGAAATTCCTTTGACTTTTTATTTCTTGGAGCTTTTTCTTTCTTGCTACTCTGTTGATTGAGTAGTTATTATTAATATTTTTTTTGTGTGGTGGTTTCTCACTTTGGCACCTATTTTTACTTTTCCAACTCAAGTGCAAGGTTATCTCTTGTATGTTAAGTCTTCCTCTGTAGTTTGCGGTGGCAGTGGTTGTGGTGATGAGGGGGGGGAGGGTGGTGTAGGGCTATTTTGCGGTTCCACAATTCTACTGTTCCACAGTTCTACAGTTCCACAGTTCTACAGTTCAACAGTTCTACAGTTCCACAGTTCCACAGTTCCACAGTTCTACAGTTCTACAGTTCTACAGTTCTACAGTTCCACAGTTCTACAGTTCCACAATTCTACAGGTCCACAGTTCTACAGTTCCACAGTTCTGTAGCGCTAATATTAGCGGGGCTCCCACGCGCGCGAAGCGCGCGTGGGGCAGAGCCCAATACCCATGGAATATGGTCAACCTCTTTTCGTTTGGTTGTCACGTGACTGACCGAGCGTACGTACGTACGTACGTGCCTTCAGATTGCACGGGTAGGGTAGGGGAGACTATCGAAACAAAGGGAGGGGTGTCTCATGCGAGTCTTGGCAAATGCACATCTTTTATGTTATAATTAATATTACGACCTTAGGAGCTCCGCTTTTAGGCTTGGTTAAATCTATATATTTCTATTTCTTGGCAGGTCTTTTTATGGCTTACGCGGCACAGCGATGGTCCTTCATGAATCGAGTAGGAAAGGTTACTCTCTACTGCAAAAAATGAGACACAGTACTGGCCACGAGGGAAACTGTGATGTTGGCCAAAGTACCCCCCTCTGGTACACACTTGGCCGTCAGGGAGGGGAAGGAGAAACAAGTAGAAGAAAAACTTCATAAGGTCGAAAATGAAAAGGGTGGAAAAAGTGCACATTATTGCCCTTTCAATTTTCATTGCCGAGGGTGTGGCGAACGTGTTGCAAACGCAACAAAAGTAGCAGGGAAACAGCTCATTTGTTTTAAGATGGAGAATGTCTACATTTTTCACTATGGAAAAAAGATTACGGCGAACAAACTGTCAAAAGTGAGCAAGGAGTTGGAAGAAGAGTGTGGCATTAAAGTTGTCAACATTACGACGCATGCGCTAGCAACAGGAAGAGCAGACCAGTCTCGTGGAGATAGCAAAGCCATGGTTTATTGTGATACAAGTGGGTTGACTCACACATCACACGAAATCGATTCTTTAACTCGAGAAGAGCCGCGAGACTATCAGCGAGAGTTGTTCCTTTCTGCCATGCGCGGTAATACGTTAGTGTATCTGCCCACTGGCTCAGGAAAAACCTTGATTGCAGCCATGGTGATGAGTTGTATGAAGAAGTTGAACCCAAGCAAAGTTATGGTATTGCTCGTCGACCGAGTACCATTAGCGCACCAACAACGTGATTACATCAAGTCACAACTGAAAGATTTAACGGTGGAAACGCTGGTGGGTGAAATGGAGTCACCTCAAAATGGGAGTATTCATCAAAAATTAGCTGATAACAAAGTTGACGTGTTAGTCTTAACACACCAGATTTTCCTTAACTTTTTAGCCGCGGAGAACAACACACCCATTCGTCTGTCTGATGTTTCAGTGCTGGTGTTTGATGAGGCACACCACTGCAGCGGAAACCACCCGTACAACAAGATTATGGAGTACTACAAAAAGACGCCAAACCGGTTTAAACCTGTTGTGCTCGGTCTGACAGCCTCGCCGGCCGGAGAGCTTACAGTCGAAAGAACCAGCGAGAAACTTGAAAAGCTCCTTGAGAACTTGGAAAGTGCAGTAGCGATGCCCATTGAGTCGGATTTGTTGCTTCAAGTTAATATCCCAGGCGTGATTTATGAAAGATCTGACTGCATGAACACTGATCAAGTTCTTCTCCAGGAATATATTGAAGAACACATCAAATATCTGAAAGACGTCCACTTCAAAGATGTACCGGATCGTCAAAGTTTTGCGTTTCCTGTATTCTCGCCGAATTTTAGAGGTGCGCTGAGAAAGCTGATCGACAGTTACCACGATAACAAGAAATCCTTTAAAGCGCTGACCGTTGCTGAGCATGCAATGCACTTGCTCAGCGTTGTTGAAGTATGCGAGGCTCTTGGTTACCAGTATGCTGTTGAAAGTCTCAAAGAATGCGTATACCGCAT